TGGGCCAACGGGCACGGCTGTGCTGATTTGGTTGGGCGAGACACACACGAGCCCACAGCAACAGGAAGACGGTACCAAATTGAAAGCGACCGTCCGTGGCAAGCAACAAAATTGTCTCCACCGTCCAAGCAGAAGCGATTACATTGACGCAAACATGCGGACGGACGACGCCGAGTCTACACGCCAAACCATGTCAGCCTATTCAGCGAAAAAGATGAAGAAAGGAGAAATTGCCCATCACAAAAGCAAACGAGTCTACAGCCAAAGCCTCTTCCTCGTCCAAGTCGACTCGACGACAGTTGCCATGGCAAGCTTGTCTATTCGGGCTCGTCTCGATGTCTGCATGTTGTCACCATGGCGCAAATCAGTGTCTAGACAAAGTGGACATGCAGACCAAAAAGAGACTCGATTAGAAGTTAACTACAGGCACCAACCAAAAGCACAACCTCCAAAGTTCATCTTGTCTTTGACGCGTCCGAACGTCGCATTGGTCATTTGGTACCTTTCGAGTTGACTGCAGTTCCAAGTCGGCCCAACTCTTGTCCAAAACCAATCTTGACACGTTACTCACTTCCACGAGAGTGCTTAGGTGACAGGGCAGACGCAAAGACAAGATAATTTAGACATTTTCCACATGACATTCTGTGTTGTGACCCTCGAAGAAGCCAGGTTGAATGTGGTACAGCAATCGAGTAGACTGTCTCTTTTGTCTTTTCATAAAAAGCTTTACGCGACTGCCAGTAGATCATGCAAATGAGCCATTTTGTACGAAGCTCTATGACGGATCGAGTTGCGCTGGAGTTGTTGATCAGACGAGTTGAAGCGACCTCGAAACTGACGTCCACTTCAGCGTGGATGAGCATCCGATTCGGGAAAGTTCGGCAGAGTGGACTTGAAGGAAAAGACACACTCTACTCAACCGATTGTGAGCAACTTCAACGACCACCTTCGCTGTCCACCTCAAAGGAATAGCATCGAAGAAGAGATGCAAGAGTGACTTTACCGTTCCACCAAAAGGGAATTGCATTCACACAAGCATTCACGCGACTACAAGACCAACTAAATCAAGAGCAAAATTTACGGCATTTCGAATATTGGCCAAGCTTGTTGTATGCGAGAGCTGGGCAGCTGAATGTGATTAGTTGAGGAGACAAATCACACCTTATTTGGTAATTACTTTGCTTCATTTAGGCGTTGTGCTTTCCCACCGGAGCCAGTAATTATTTTGATGAGTTTCGAATTTTGCACACAGAGTGAACTTGACGATTCGATTCACGGACAACGTAGCAACTGCTTACGTACACGCCAAGAATGAGCAAAGGTGATTATATGAGCAAATACTTTTGCTCACCAACTTTTGCCTACAAGACATACATGACAAGCAGACACTTGCGAAATGTTGACTAATTCCATTTCATCCCTTTGCA